AATTAAGCATCTGCCTTTGGCTCAGGGTCCTGGGATGGAGCCCCATGTCAGGCTCCCTGTTCAGTGGAGAGCCTGTTTCTCCCTCTCCCTCTGCTAACCATCCCCCTACTCATTCTCTGTAATAAATAAATAAATAAATAAATAAATAAATAAATAAATAAATAAATAAATAAAATATTTAAAGAGAAAAACATACTTATAATTACTTTAAGTGTACATAGACTGCATTCTCCAATCAAGAGATACAGAGTGGCTGACTAGATTAAAAAAAAAAAGACTCATGTATATGCTGCCTACCAGAGACTCACTTCAAATGTAATACACAGACAGACTGAAAGTGAAGGGATGGGAAAAAGAAATTCATGATGAACATAGATGCAAAATCCTCAACAAAATACTAAAAAACTGAATTCAGCATTAAAAGAATTGTATACCATGATCAAGTGGGATTTATTTCAGGGATGCAAGGATGGTTCAACATCCACTCATGAGTGTAATATACCACTTTAAAATGAAAAATAAAAATCATATGATCATCTCATATGAAGAAGCTTTTGACAAATTCAACATCAATTTATGATAAATACTCTCAGGAAAGTGAGTGTAGAGTCACCTCGATGTGCCTTTACGTCTAATGTACCTCTATGTCTAATGATAAGGCGACAGTTAACATCATGTTCAATGTTGAAAAGCTAAAAGCTTTTCTTTTAAGATCTGGAACAAGATGGGCAGCGCAGGTGGCTCAGCTGTTTGGCACCACCTTCAGCCCAGGGCCTAATATTGAAGACCTGGGATCAAGTCCGGCGTCAGACTCCCTGCATGGAGCCTGCTTCTCCCTCTGTGTCTCTGCCTCTCTGTGTGTGTGTGTGTGTGTGTGTGTGTGTGTGTGTGTGTGTGTCTTTCATGAATAAATAAATAAAAATCTTTAAAAAAAATCAGGAACAAGACAAGAATGCCCACCCTCCCACTACTATTCAACAAAGAGTTAGAAACCCTTTCAATTTGGTGAGAGAAAGAAATAAAAAGCATCAAAATTGGAAAGAAAGAAGTAACATTGTTATTATCTCCGGATAATGATGCTATATATAGAAAACCCTAAAGATGGCACCAAAAGCCATTAGAAGTAATAAATGAATTCAGTAAAGTGGCAGGGCACAAAATCAATATACAAAAATTGTTGTGTTTCTATACACTAACAGTGAACTATCAGAAAGAGAAATTAAGAAAACAATCCCAGGCAGCCCGGGTGGCTCAGTGGTTTGGCGCCGCCTTCAGCCCAGGGTGTGATCCCGGAGACCTGGGATCGAGTCCCACGTAGGACTCCTTGCATGGAGCCTGCTTCTCTCTCTGCCTGTGTCTCTGCCTCTCTCCCTCTCTCTCTGTGTGTGTCTCTTGCACTCTTGGTGGGAATGTGAACTGCTGCAGCCACTCTGGAAAACTGTGTGGAGGTTCCTCAAAGAGTTAAAAATAGACCTGCCCTACGACCCAGCAATTGCACTGCTGGGGATTTACCCAAAGATACAGATGCAGCGAAACGCCGGGACACCCGCACCCGGATGTTTATAGCAGCAATGTCCACAATAGCCAAGCTGTGGAAGGAGCCTCGGTGTCCATCCACAGATGAATGGATAAGGAAGATGTGGTCTATGTATACAATGGAATATTAGTCATCAGAAAAGACAAATACCCACCATTTGCTTCAATGTGGATGGAACTGGAGGGTATTATGCTGAGTGAAGGAAGTCAGTTAGAGAAGGACAATGATCATATGGTTTCATTCATATGGGGAATATAATAAATAGTGAAAGAGATTAAAGGGGAAAGGAGAGAAAATGAGTGGGAAATATCAGTGAGGGTGACAGAACATGAGAGACTCCTAACTCTTAGAAACGAACAAGGGGTAGTGGACGGGGAGGTGGGTGAGGGGTTGGGGTGACTGGGTGATGGGCACTGAGGGGGGCACTTGATGGGATGAGCACTGGGTGTTATACTATATGTTTGCAAATCGAACTCCAATTAAAAAATATACAAAAAAAATCTTGCCATTTGCAGCAACATGAATGGACCTTGAGGACATTATATTAAGTGAAATAAGGTATTATATTAAGTGAGAAAGACAAATACCATTATTTCACTTATATGTGGAATCTCTAAAAAATGAAACGAACAAACAAAACAAAACCAAAATTATAGATATAGATAACAGAATGGTAGTTGCCCTTGGGGAAGGGGTTGGGGAGTGGGTGAAAGAGGTGTCAAAAAGTACAAACTTACAAGCATGAAAGAAATAAGGGGATGAATGTATAGCATGGTGACTACCGTTAGTAATACTCTATAGCATACTTGAAAGTGGAAATCATTACAAAAGATTGTAAAGATTGTACAGATTGTAAAGATTGTAAAAGATTGTAAGGATCTTCTTTACAAAAGAGTAAATCTCAGATGTTAACTTTTTATAGTGACAGATGATAACTAAACTTAACATGGTGAACCTTTTGCAGTGGGTACAAATATTGAATCATGCTGCACACCTGAAACCAATATAATGTTGTATGCCAATTACACTCCAATAAAAAATTTATAGGGGTACCTGGGTAGCTTAGTTGGTTAAGCGACTGACTCTTGATATAGGTTCAGGTAATGATCTCAGGGTTGTGGGATCGAGCCCCATGTCAGGCTCCATGCTAAGTATGGAGCCTGCTTGGGATTTTCTCTCTCCCTCTGCCCCCTCTCTGCCCAGCTCATGTATGTGTATGCTCTCTCTCTCTCTCAAGATAAATAAACATAAATAAATATAAATTCATAAAAATAAAGAGATTTAAATAGTAAAATTTTAAAAAGAAAGAATAACAATAAGGGAAGTTGCAATCTTTTTTTTCCTTCATTTAGAAAATGTACAACTCCTTAAAATAAAGATCAAGCATGCAGTTTATAGGGGGAAAACCCCAAACACTCCAGTCTTGCCAAAGTCAACAGAGTTCTTCTGAAGTCATCAGACTAGTAGAAGTTCATCTTCACCAAAACTCTTAAACATTGAAAGCTTGTTCGGTAAAAAGTGATAATAGGCTCACAGGACTTCCTTGCCTTCTCAACAAGATAGATGACAATTAGCAGAGGAAATTATTCAATAAATTCAAAGAAGGATCACCACTGGACCAGAGAAGGAAATGCTAGAAACAAGAGAGTTTTTTATTTATTTTTTTGTTTGTTTTTCAACTAGAAGAGCTTGATATATTCCTAAGGTCTAGCTAGGTAATATACTAAGACCAGGTGTCATAGTATATTTTATGGTGCTTATAATAGAACTAGTCCTAAAAAGAGTGTAGTATTTGTTATTCCACATTCCTTTCCTGTTTCTATCCCTCTCTTTTCTTAGAATACATTTTAGGAAAAAATTGTTAAAATGCTTATTAAACAATTTTTATGCTTTAAGCTGATTATGAATTTGGATTTTAAGAAAGGAAACAATCAGTAGAGTGGATTTTTTAAATCCTCAGAAAAATTTCTATGGAGGAGATGCTTTTTTGGGGTAGCAGTTTAGGTTGGGTATCAGTGTCTGCTGGTAGGCTTATCGTAACTGAGAACACTGAGCTTTTCTTTAAAAAAATTCCTTAGCTGGAATGAATAATTGAAAATGCTGAGCCATGAGAACTTCAAAGATTAATTTCTCCATTAATGGCACAAAGTGATAGAAATAATCAGCTAAAGAAGAATAATCAAGCTAACCCAACTGGGGCATTTCATCTGATACTCAAAGTTGCTGGGCCAAAACTTTGATCTCCTTCAATTTTGTTTAAGGGAGTTTTAGGTCATTTAAAACTGCAGAAACCTTCTGTCTTTGTAATTTAGAAGTGTGTTCTGATATATGTTTTTTTTAATCCCTTCAGGTAATAGGATACAAAGTGCTATTTTGGGGCACTGTGAGCTCCAGGGTGGTTATATAATGACCAGTGTCAGATATTCCCAAAAGGCCTTGGGTATATTTTTAATGTGCTTACTTGATATAGCCACAAGTCCATTCAGTTATATTAAACTTGGAGGTAGCCCATCTGAGTTTACTTAAGAGAGAACAATGATGCAACAGGAAGTCAGATGGCCAAGATAAGACACCTGTGTTCCAAGAGAAACCAAATAAATCAGAACCACTACAACTTGGGTCTGAATAACAGTTGGGAATGCAGTAGATTCAACTGAAGATTTTCTTTTTAGTAACCAATTATGTCAGTAACAGATAAATTCTCCAGATTTATAGCTAAGAATATAGAAGTTAATTTATCATGATATCAGGTAGATTGTATTATGTTTGTCAGTGAAAAATGTTCATACTTTATAAGTCTAACTTATCAAACATCTTCATAAATGGCCATTAGGATTATTCCATGGTCATGGAAACTTTTTGGAGACTATATATATCAGATTATTGTAACTATTGTTGCCATCAACCTTATTGACAGAATCAGCACTGTATTAGTAAGAATTACATAGTTTCTCCCTGTATTTATTTGGTTACTGTTGTGTTTGAGGCACTGTTTTTGGCCTATTTAAAACATCATCCCTGTTCCTTACAATAGTCCTACAAAGTACACATTATTAGTCCCATTTAATATGTGAGAAAACAGAGTTTAAGTGACTTGCCCAAGGTTTCCAAATGGTTAAATGGTAGATTCATATTCCAGTAAGAGCTTCTCTGACTCTAAAAAAACAAATTCCTTTAAAAAAAATTTTTTTTAATTTATTTTTTCATGAGAGACAGAGAGAGAGAGAGAGAGAGAGAGAGAGAGAGAGAGGCAGAGACACCAGCAGAGGGAGAAGCAGGCTCCATGCAGGGAGCCGGATGTGGGAGCCCAGGATCAGGCCCTGGGCTGAAGGTGGCACTAAACCTCTGAGCCACCCAGGCTGCCCAAAACAAATTCCAGCACAATCACCATTTCTCCAATTTTTATGTTGCTTTTCCTTCAGAATTAGTGGATGGAGTGGCTTTCTTTGCCACTGTCACTTACTTGAAGCAAATGTCTTTCTTTCTTTCTTTGCAGTGGATTGCATTCACTGAATATTCACAAGTTCCTCAGTGGTGTGGCTGTGTACCTGGTGGGAGAGGAGAGAAATCATGGTGGAGACCTCCAAAGCATCTTTACTATTCTAGAAAATAAACGAAGTACACACTGTACCTTTAACCCTAGTACTTGGAACTCTAATGGGGTTAGTTTAGCTACATACACAAATCCCATTCAAGTTTTTCACATCTTGGGCTGTGGAATTTTTAACAGGGACTAGTGATGTGGGTATGTCACAATAACCACTTCTGATTGAGTCCTTTCCAGGTATGAGGTACTTGATATTGGGTACCTTTTCAGTAAACACATCAACTCTATGAGTTCGGTACTATTGTCATTATCATCCTCATATTACAAATAAGGTCAAGGTTAGGGGCGCCTGGGTCACTCAGACCATTAAGCGTATGCCTTCAGTTTGGGTCATGATTCTGGAGTCCTGGGATGGAGCCCCACATGGTGCTCCCTGCTCAGCGGGGAGTCTGCAACTCCTTCTACTCCTCACCCCGCTCAGACTCACTCACTGTTGCTCATTCTCTCTCAAATAATTAAATAAATTAAGTCTTTTTTTTAAAAAGTCAAGGTTATTTATATGCTTATTGGTAGAGCAAGACTTAGAACCTATGATTTCAAATCAAAATTCTGTAATTGGGGGCATCTGGGTGGCTCAGTTGGTTGAACTTCTGCCTTTGGCTCAGGTCATGATCTCAGGGTCTTGGGATGGAGTCCTGCACCGGCTCCCACTTAGCCAGGAGCCTTCTTCTCCCTCTCCCTCTGCCTGCTGCTCCCCCTGCTTGTGCTCTCTTTCTCTATCAAATAAATAAATAAATCTTTAAAAAAATACTGCAATTGTTTCTATGATATTTGGTAATTGTTAAGATTAGTGTTCTTAATGTCTTGACACTGAAGTTCTTATAATTCTCAAACATCCCAAGTAATTTGTAATTAAAATATATAAAATATTAAAATTTGCAGATGGTTTACTTTTGTGTGTGTGAATTAGAGAATATTCAAGGATTTCTCTGAAATATCATCATCCCATACTTCTTGCATTCAAATATATTTTCTTTTGTATGAGAGGAATGTTTATAATAGCAGTTGATATGCAGGAAACTGAACACAACCTTGTCTCTTAGCCACTGTGCTGATTTATTATCTGTCTCCCCTTTTGGTACTTCAGAAGTGGCCAGCTAAAGGGCCTGGCACAGTAAGTTCTTGGTAAACGCATGAGAGTAAGGCACAGAGTGGTTAAACGCATAGATTACAGAGTTGAAGCCAGCCTTCCAGCACTTACCAGTTCTGTAATATCAGGCAGGTTATTTACCCTCCTCAAGCTTTGGTTTCCTCATTAAGGAAATGGGGTAATAATTACATAGGATAATAATTAGAAGTATTTAGTACAGTACCTGATTACCACAAGTGCTTAATTATGTTAGTTGATATTATCTGCTATTCTAAGAATCCTTTTTTTTTTCTTCCTGACTCAGAAAGTCTAGTTAGACTGTAACAAAACAAAATAAGGGGCTGTGTCTTTGCCTTCAAGGTGAGTTAAAGAAGTCTGGGACAGGGCAGCCCCGGTGGTGCAGTGGTTTAGTGCCACCTGCAACTCAGGGTGTGATCCGGGAGGCCGTGGGATCAAGCCCCATATTGGGCTTTCTGCATGGAGCCTGCTTCTCCCTCTGCCTGTGTGTCTCTCATGAATAAATAAATAAAATCTTTTAAAAAAATGGATATATAACATTTGATTTATTTTACTAACAATGCCATGTTATGAGGGGAGGAAGGAAAATATAGTCAATAAGTAATTCTAGGAGCCTTAATAAAATCTTTACTCTTTTCTATCTAACTCATCATTAGCATCATGGAAATTAGTGAATTGTGAATTCTTGTAGAATTTATTTTTCTCCTTATAAGTGATTTGAAAATACTTAAGCTATCTGCAGATAGAGGTAAGAAGAAAATCCACATAGATGCAGACCGACTTTCAAGGAAGCTAAGTGGGTTTTAGGTTGCAAAGTAAGAAGCACCAGGACTGGGGCAAGGTCCTAATTCAGAGGGAACATTCCCCAAAGGTATTGTTAGACATTACCTACTATGATTTGGCAGTCAGCTCTATTGCTCTCACTCATTTTCTTGATAAGTGGTTTGATGGAATGATAAAACATTGATAACATATCAAGGTAAGCACTGTCTTCAAGTGTCACACAGATTTCTCATCTTCGATAATATTCTACAGGTATTTTTGCCTCAGGGTCATATATCTTTATACTACAGGAGAGTAGTGAAGATTTCTGGCTTCTGAGATGAAAAATAGAGTTTCATATTGTGCCCTACTTTCTTTTTTTTTTCTTTCCCTAAATACTTTCTATGTGCAGTTTTGTCTTTCCAGTCTCTTTTGTACCTGCCTCTCTGCTTCCTGGCAACTAGCACAACCTTCCCTGTCTGATGTGTTGACCATATGCCTTCCTATTGCCTATAGTTAGTTATCTTTTTCAGTAGGAGGAGTATGATGATTAAGCTGACATCAGTTTTCCTTCTTTGACTTACTAAACTGGAAAAGCACTTCAGAGACAACAAAAAGATGTCAGAAGTAGGAAATAATGAAAAAATTGGAGAAAACAATTTTTCTTTTGCTATTAATCTTATTAAGCAAATGATGTGAATGAGAAAGCTGATTACACAAATCCCATTGCTGGTGCAGTGTGATTAAGTAAAACAAACACACACACAAACTGAATTTCAATAGGGAAATATGAGATCTGGCCTAATCTTGCCAACCACCAGCTAGATAATTTGGTCTAGTTATTGAACTTTTTTTTTTAAGATTTTATTTTTTTATTCATAGAGATGCAGAGAGAGAGAAGCAGAGTCACAGGCAGAGGGAGAAGCAGGCTCCATGCAGAGAGCCCGACGCGGGACTCGACCCAGGGTCTCCAGATCATGCCCTGGGCTGCAGGCGGCGCTAAACTGCTGCGCCACCGGGGCTGCCCCTAGTTATTAAACTTTTTAAGAACAATACTTACTTATGAGTAAAATTAGAGGATTGGAACAGGTGTTCTGAAAGTCCTCTTTTGATTCCACTATTTGATGTTCTAAGATAAACAAAAGCCAACATCTCTAGTGAACAATTTACCAGAAGATGATCATGAACTTGTCATTCTGAATCAATGCTTGTAGTATTAAAAAATGGTGTAATTCTACCCAGAGTATTTTAAGATGAATAGAAGTGAAATAGGTAGAAGCATCTCAGACCAGAGAAAGGCAACAGTTGATTCTAAGTGATTATAAAAATCTAGATAACCAACTAAAGTAACTCAGCAAAAAAAGTGAGCAACAAAACAAAATACAAAATCCAAACCCCAAAGAAGTATTGACAAAACTTCTTTAAATCCTTCCAGAAGACTTTGTTTATATTACTTTTAAACACTCTAAGTTCTCCTTTATAAAAGAGTATAGAATTCCATATCTGGACTTGGTGAGTGACTGGTACCAGACTTTCCTTCCCACTGTACATAGCTAAAATCTGAGCAATAAGCATGAAACAGTTGTTAGACATTGGGCAATATACAGTACAAGAATATGATTTAATCCCTGAGATAAGGGAAACAAAGAAGCTGAGTCCACCAATCACCCTGAGTTTCACTTGGAAACATTTTCTAAATTATGATGTGGGGAGGGAGAACCCAATCAGAGCATGGTGATCTCACTTAGTTGAGGGGACAGACTTTGGAAGAAGTTGAGGTGGCTGGTATTTGTGGAGAAAAGAAGATAGTCTCAAAAAAAAAAAAAAAGAGAGAGAGTCTCCTTAAATTAATTAGTGAATACTAAACTGTCCATATGTGAAATCCTTATGAGTCCAAATAAGAAGGATGCTATAAATGAAACAATTTCCAGAGTTAACATTGGCAGGAGACGTTTCAATTCTCATCATCCAGAATGGAGAGACCCTGTTGAATTCCTGGGACATTCATGGAGAATCCAGAGGATTATGCATTAATGGTATGTCTAAATTAACTCCCGAATAAAAATTACTGTAGACTTATCTTAATAAAATTTCAAGACAAGCCTTGAAATGATCCAGCTGATCTGCAAGTAATTTAACTTGCAGTAACTTAAGTAACTTAATGAAATGGTACAACAAATTTCAACACTGGACAAAAAAATCTAGATAATTAACAGTGTAATGCTCACAATCTACAAAATCTAATCAAAGTAATTACATACACAAAGAAGGAGTGAAACATGACCTACAATCAGAAGAAAAATCAGTCAGTATTAACAGGACAAGAAATGATAGAGATAATGGAATTCACAGACAAGAGCTTTAAAACACACATTAACAATACACTCAAGAAGTTAAAGGAGAACATGAACATAATTAGGAAGAAACATTATATATATTTAAAGATTGAGTGGAAATCTTGATTGAATTATATAGGTCGATGGAAAAATAACATCATAGTGAAATTGCTAGTAACCAGTGATATCTTTATCACTGTGATATGAGAACATCTTAAAAGCAGCCAGAAGGGGAAACTGTATATTCAGAGTAATGTCAATAAGAATGACATCAGACTACCCTCAAGAACAGTGGAAACTGGGAGACAATAAGATGATATCTTTAAAGTGACAAGGAAAAAACTGCCAACCTAGACTTCTATACCCAGTGAAAATATTCTTTAGAAAAATTAAGGCAAAGCAGACATATCAAAACAAACAGAACTGAGGAGTTAGTGCAGAATAGCACTACAATAAATCCTAAAGAAGATTCTTTAGTTTGAGGGCAAATGATCCTAGTTGGAAGTGCAGATATGCAGGAAGAGCACTGGAAAGAATAGATGTATGGGTAAATATATACTTGGAAACTCTTTTTTAAAGTGTCTTTTTAATAAAGTGTCTTTAAAAGACTATTAACCATATAAAACAAGTGTAAAGATAATGTCAGGTTTGTAATATGAGAGATAAATGGAAAAATTATAATATCTCAAGTCACTTAATGTTTGTAAAGTAGAAAATAATAATTTAAGGAAGACTGAAGTTAATAATTCTTGTTGAAGTCTATAAAATAATGACTACAAATGTGTACCCAAAAAAAGCAGAGCAAAAAAACCAAAGCCAGCAAAGATCAAAAGAGAAGATAAAATAATATAATAAAAATATTTTTAACCCAAGAGTAGATAGGAGAGGAAGAATATAGGAACAAAAAATGGGAATAATTAAAAAAACAAACACAAGATGGTAGACCTAAACTCAGCCATATCAATCATCACTTTATTATGTCCAAATGAGGTTCTCCCTTGGTGTAGCTCTGTTGTAAAGATGCCAGGGCAGTGTATGTGGAAAGGAAATGATATCCAGAAGAACCGTGGGCATTTCTGGATTAAAAACATTGGGAAAGCTGGAAATGGAATAGGGACCTGGATAGTGAATCAAAATTTTTTTTTTGTATTGCATTCTATTCTCTCAATAGTTTAGCTGCTTTCCAATGTACAATACTTACCTTTTGTTTTTTTTATTTGAATTCTGCTTGCCTTAGAAAGGAAAACACCTGACAACAAAGGATTGATAGCCACATGATCTTCACTGCTGATTTTTGTGTGATTTCTTGCATTCTGCCTTTTCTCCCCATCTCTATACCTAGAACCTCAGAATCAAATCTCTTATTCCTATTTTGGTAGAATTATTAAACAGTTGGTGGAGAAAGTTTAAGGACCTGGGTAAAAAAGAGCTTTATAAAATTCAGAGTGTTTTTGCCTCCCCCATTTCATGCTATATTGTAGTGCATACATTTCTTATTCTTATCAAGCTTTCAGAGCTTAATTTGACTGTCATAATTAATTAACCTTTAACTCTTGTAAAGGTTACCTAAATATTCATTCAAAAGATATTTTCGTATGTTGCAATGGGCATTACTAAGTCCTACTATATATAGTTCCATTGTTACATTCCTTTTTGTTTGAGATATGGTCCAATTCCCCTCTTCCTGCCATCTTGGTTTCTGTGCACTGTGAATTGCTTTTCACAGAAGCTTGTTTTCACTTGTCTGCTGACTAGCCTGGTCAGGACAAGTCACTGATCCTCATTGTATCAAACTTCTCATCTGTGAAATAGGAACAAAAATTGGTATTGTGTTTGTAAGGTGACTGACCTTCTGAAGATGAACCATTGCTTCTGTATCATTTAGTGTTTCTTTGGTAAGCAGCAGGATGCTGACTTGGAAGAGCCTGTGAGAAAGGACAGTAATGTGGGAGAGGTTTAGACTGCAAGTACACTACCACCTTGAAAGAGTAACTGTTGAGGTCTTTGTTAATGTAACCTTGATCAGACACACACACACACACACACACACACACACACACACACACTTGAGGCATACTTAAATTCATCTTCATTTTGTCTATAAATTGTTTTTTAAAAATAATATTTGGTATATATCTCTCTTTTTTTAAGATTTTATTTATTTATTCACAGAGAGAGAGAGAGAGAGGCAGAGACACAGGCAGAGGGAGAAGCAGGCTCCCTGCAGCGAGCCGGATGTGGGACTTGATCCCGGGTCTCCAGGATCACACCCTGGGCAGAAGGCAAACACTCAATTGCTGACCCACCTGAGTGTCCATGGTCTATAAATTCATAATACTCATGGTATTAGTACTACATGAGATATAAAATGTATTTTCATTTGATTTTGCTAATATGTTTCATAGTTTTTAAATGGCTTCTAGTTATTTGTGAGCTAAGTCCTATAAATGGTACCACTTCTACACGATGCATTTAAATGTATAAGCTCTTTTTCATAGTACATATTATGCAGTGTATAAATCACATGATCCTGTGAACCCAGTGAACAATATGAATATTGGTGGTATTGATACTCTCCATGGTGAGAGCATAACTGTTTTCATAATCAAGAAGTCTGAATTATCTCTATATTTGCTGATTTGTGTGACCCCCAAACTAAGTCCTTTAAGTCCAGAAAATCAACATCAGGTTATATTTCTTTATTTAAAACATTGTTTTTACTCACAAATTCAAATTTTTATTTTTTTATTTTTTTAAAGGTTTTTTTTTTATTTATTTATTTACGATAGTCACAGAGAGAGAGAGAGAGAGAGAGGCAGAGACACAGGCAGAGGGAGAAGCAGGCTCCATGCACCGGGAGCCCGACGTGGGATTCGATCCCGGGTCTCCAGGATCGCGCCCTGGGCCAAAGGCAGGCGCCAAACCGCTGCGCCACCCAGGGATCCCCACAAATTCAAATTTTTAAAATAAATTTTAAGAGATATATTTTTAGTTGAAATATACTCAAAAATTTTAAATTGGTTTGTAGTGATTCATAAAATCTCTCTGAGATAGTCTTAGATGGAATAGATAGAGAAGAATAAAACAATTATTTGAAGATTGAGGCTCAAAGCTCTATATTTATTTATATCTAACGTGTGTCTATCTATTATCTATCTATCATCTATCTATCTATCATCTATCTATTCAGTCAACCATTCCCAGGCGTAAATATATAATTACTTGTTATAGCATTAGCTAAATTCAGTATCAAGAAAATCAAGGAAGAAGAAATAAAACCTCTTGGATTCCTTTTTCTATTTATACTACTGTTTTCAAAGGTAATTATACATTTATACAACTCAGAAGCAATTTGTAGTTGTGGACCTTTCTTTTTTTAAACTTCATGCATTTTAATTTTTTAAAACCTTCACATAAAATAGCATGAATTTTAGGTGTCCATATGTTCTCTTATTTATTTTTTCAAATATTTATTTATTTTGGAGAAAGAGAGAGAGTATGTATATGAGAGTAGGATGAGGAGCAGAGGGAGAGAATCTTCAAGCAGATTCTCCGATGAGTGCAGAGCCTAGCGTGGGGCTCCATCTTACCATCTGTGAGATCATGATCTGAGCCAAAACCAAGAGTTGGGCACTATAACAAGTGAGCTACCCAGGCAGCCTCCATATACTTATTAATAAATAGATTTCATATCTTTTTTTTCCTCCTTAATCTAGTCTTATCTAAGAGAGTTATGTTTAAGTCATCCATTAGGATGTGGTTTGTGTTAACCACTCTTTTTGTTACTCATACTTTTTGCTTCATGGATCTTGAGGTTATATTGTTTGATCCACAAAGTTGGATGGATATAATATCTTCTGGGTGGACCATAACGTTTTTCCAACATAAAATGTTCCTTTTGTTTAGTTAACATTTTATCCTTTTGAATTCTGTGTTGTGTATTTTTATTACCACTCAATATTTTTTCTTGTTAGAATTCTCCTCATACATCTATTTCTTTATTTTCAAACTTTCATCATCATTTTGCCCTAGACATATTTCTTTTTTTTTCTAAGATTTTATTTATGTATTTGACAAAGACAGCTAGAGAGCACAAACAGGGGGAGCAGCAGAGAAAGAGGGAGCAGCAGGCTCCCCACTGAGTAGGGAGCCTGATGCAGGGCTTGATCCCAGGATCCTGGGACCATGACCTGAGCCAAAAGCAGATGCTTAACTGACTGAGCTACCCAGGTGCCTCTAGATGTATTTCTTATAAATAGAATATAGGTAAGTTCCATCCTTTAAAAGGAACTCTTATCCATTCATATTGATTGTGCTTACTAATATGGTTTTTTAAGTTTTTATTCAAATTCCAGTTAGCATACAATGTAATATTAGTTTTAGGTGTACAATATAGTGATTCAAACTTTCCATACAACACCAGTGCCCACCATAACAATTGCATTTCTTAATCCCCATCATCTGTTTAACCCATCCCCCTCCACCTCCACTCTGATAACCATCAGTTTTTTTTCTATAGTTAAGAGTTCATTTTTGGCGGCAGCCCAAGTGGCTTAGTGGTTTAGCACCACCGTCAGCCCAGGGCGTGATCCTTGACACCCAGGATCGAGTCTCACGTCGGGCTCCCTGCATGGAGCCTGCTTCTCCCTCTGCCTGTGTCTCTGCCTCTCTTTCTCTCTCTGTGTCTCTCATGAATAAATAAATTTTTAAAAATCTTTTTTAAAAAAGAGTCCATTTTTTGGGTTGCCTTTCTCTCTTTTTCCCCTTTGCTTGTTCGTTTCTTAAATTTCACATATGAGTGACATCATATAGTATTTGTCTTTCTCTGACTTATTTTGCTTAGCATAATACTTTCTAGCTCCGTCCATGTCATTGAAAATGATAATTCTTTCCTGTGGCTGAGTAATATTCCATTATATATGTAAATGTAAATATTTATATACCATATCTTCCCTTTTTTTCCATTCATCAGTCAATGGACACTTGGGGATTTCCATAATTTGTCTATTATAGTTAATGCTGCAATAAACATCAGGGTGCATATATCCCTTTGAATTAGAATTTTTGTCTTCTTTGGGTAAATACCTATCAATGCAATTCCTGGATTGTAGGGTAGTTCTAGTTTTAACTTTTTGAGGAAGCTCTATACTGTTTTCTAGTGTGGCCATACAAATTTACAATCCCACCAATAGTGCAAGAGAGTTCCCCTTTCTCCAGATACTTAACAACACCCATTTCTCCTTGTGTTGTTGATTTTAGCCATTCTAACAGGTGTGAGGTGATATCTCATTGTAGTTTTGATTTGTATTTTCCTGATGATCAAAAAAATCCTAGAGGAAACCCAGGCAGTAACCTATTTGACATTGGCCATAGAAACTTCTTTCTAGGGCAGCCCAGGTGGCTCAGCAGTTTGGCGCCGCCTTCAGCCCAGGGTGTGATTCTGGAGACCCAAGATAGAGTCCTGCATCGGGCTCCTTGCATGGAGTCGCCTTCTCTCTCTGCCTATGTCTCTGCCTCTCTTTGTGTGTCTCTCATGAATAAGTAAATAAAATCTTAAAAAAAAAAAAAAGACTTCTTTCTAGGCAAGGGAAAAAAGCAAAAATAAACCTTTGAGACTTCAAAATAAAAAACGGCACAGCAAAGGAAACAATCAGCAAAACTAAATGAGAGTCTAAAGAGTGGGAGAAGATATTTGCAAATGACATATTATCTGATAAGTGCCACACTTATCCCCTCAAGAAAGAGCTTTTTGTCCAAGTTAGTCAACAGTCTTCAGCTTCAGAGTTTCCATCAATGGTAAAACAGCCTTAGTATGCAAAAATATAAGAAACATAAAAAGTCAACATCCAAAAAACAAATAATCCAATTAAAATGGGCAGAAGATATGAATAGACATTTTTCCAAAGAAGACATACTGATTACAAATATTTTTACCATCTTCTTTTATGCTTTTGATTTATCATGCTCACTGGTTTCTTTTTATCACATTTCCTAGTATTCATGGATTTGATTGTTCTGTTGTTTATTTTGCCTTTAGTGACTTGGGAAATGTCATTTATTGTGGTCTGGGGTACTTATAAATTTTGGCTTTCTGGTTCTCCTTCTTTTGGTTGCTGAGGAAACTTCTTCCCTCAACCCATTTACTCCATGTGGTGCTCTTCCTCACCATACCCACACCTCCTCCAACACAGAAACGGGCAGGTCAGCTCAAGTCGGCTAGTCAGAGAAACTCCTGTCTGGCCATAAAAACTGGGTCAAGAATGAGCCCATCCTTGATCAGAATCTTCCCTGAATCAAAATGACTATACCATCCTCCACGATAAGACACAAATTTGGTATTTCTATTCTCATCTCCCTCCACTGAAATCTCTACTTTGCTGAAATCATTTTGAATTTTAATTATGTTTTTGAGGCTTTCATATTATAGTTATTCTATTTTCATGATAAACAATTCTTTATTAAGATTTATGTCCAAAATAACATATCTTTGTATGTATCCATAAGTTTACTAGTTTCTTTGCTGAATACTATTTCTTGTAACTCACGTCTTCCTTTTTTTTCTTTTTTAAAGGTAATTTATTTGTAGGAATATATCTTGGAGTTTTTCAGAAAGATTGAGTGAGCAGTAAAGTTTCTGAATACTTAGCTAAATAAAATTCCTCATTTGTTTTCACATTTTAGTGATGATTTATTTCCCTTTGTATGAAATTTGCATAAAATTTAGGTTCAAAATCCTTTTCCTTTAGAACTCTATAGAAATTATTCCACTGACTTTTTGTATCCCATGGTGAAGATAAAAAATATAAACCCACGTGACTCTTGATCATTTAGGACTACCTTATATAAATAAATTTATTTCTGGAGCTGAGAGATCTTACTTGAATGATCTTAAGTGTTTCCTTTTTCATTATTTCTGCTTGGGATT